CTAATTGATTTGAGTTCCAGGTACAGCCCCAGTCTGAGTGCTTCTGAACATCTGAGCGCTGGCTTTGTTAACCCTGACCTAAAGATAACTTTGAATGCAACAGAAAATAAGCAGCAGGTCAGCTGACTGGTAATATCTGTCATGAGAAGGGATTCCCAAGCACATCTAGTTTTACTTCCTAGTATATTTTATGAGGAGGACACACTGTCATCCCGATGATGAAGCAAATGACGAAACTTTTCGTAAGAGTAGCAGGAAAAACAAATCATCCTCTAGTAATAACTTCATTCATCCTCCTTCTCAAGCAGCCAAGAGGGAATTCCTCTACTCTCTCAAACGCCCTTATGGACAGAAAACAGAGGCAATGTCATGAAAATGAAGTTTTAAAGCAGCCTAACACGCTCTAACCAGGGGGGCACAGGTAGTTAGTTCATCTAAATGCTCGGATACAGCTGTGCTGAAAAAGTTAGCAAGAAGATGAAACACCCTGAAACCATCAAAGCAAAATTCACCATTAGGACAATTCAAACTGAAAACAAGAGGTTTATGTGGCTGAAACATCAACTTAATGTCATCTTATACATTTTTTACATCGTATGTACAGAGTTCATACTTAATGTTCCCGAAACACTTCATTTTACCCTCAGCTCCAAAACAAAGCACTTACCTTGGGGCAGGGCAAAACTAACTCGGTCACAGAAAAACATTCTGCAATCGCAACGACAAGAAGCTGTGACAGACTGTCACGATATCCCCAACAAGAATTATAACGGCAACAGACAATAACTGACAAATTTAACTGTCAAAGACTTAAAGGGTCCTGCCAGAATTGCTAGGAAAATAAAAATATAAATCAAAGTCTTAGTTGGTTGACATATTACTAGAATATAGTATTTTTCTAAATCAGAAATCTGACCGTATTTCTCAGCTGCACGGGGCAGTTCAACGCAAAAAGACTTTGCTCTGCTTGGTTCACTGCTTTGTGAGGGAAGCTACCAACTAATAGGGCAATCTGTTGGCTATAGAAGCACTACATTAAAAGTATGCAAGGATCAAAGTCCATTCTGGAACCCCTCAGCGCTTCATAACCGAACACCAGAACACAGGATTCGGGCCTGGAAGCTCTGGATCCTACATTAAACGAGGTGAACGTGACAGGAATGAAAGCAGCTGAAAGGGAAACACGGCGCGAGGGGCTGAGATGAGGAAGGCAGCACGCAGAACAGCACACTGCTGGCAGCAGAAAGGGAGGCCTTGCTCATTCAGAGCCTTAAGATGGAGGGTTGCAGAGCCTGGCACAGATTGAGAGGGGCTCTGAAGTGAAAAGCAGCCAGGCCCGGCTCTCCTCCTCCTCCAGGCCCTACCTGGAAGCCTGTGGAAGGTTGTTGGTTAAGGTAATGCCATGGAAGGAGGGAGCCTGGCAGCCTCTGGGGCTGCAGGCTGGCAGCTCCGCAGCCAGAGCCCATGGAGGGAAGCAGGCCCACCCCAGCCTGCCCACAGCCCTCGCCCCATGCAGGGGGACCCCCGGGCAAGCCCCGCTGCCGGCCTGCTCACCATGTTGGTCCCGCGTTCCCGCCGCGGTGCCCGGGGCTCCGTTCCCGCCAGCTGCCTCTGCGGAAGGGAAGGGCACAAAGGGGACGGGATGCTGGATGCGCTATGGAGCAGCGGGGCCCGGCCACGGCGCTGTCCCAGGGTGCTCTCCCCACACAGCCCCCAGGGACCCCGGGCAGGGCCACGCAGCGGCCTTCCCGTGTCCGTGTCCGTGTCCGGTCCCCCCCCCCTCCCCACGCCTCCACACACCGGGCCCGGCTCCCCGCTTAACGGGCCCGGTTTGTGCCCCTCCGTCCCCCCCCAACACGGGGCCGCGCCGCCTCCGTCCCCCTCCTCAACACGGGGCCGCGCCGCCTCCCTTTCCCCCCATCCCGGGGCCGATCCCGCCTCCTCCCCGTCCCGGTACCACGCCCGGTTCCCCCCCCCACCTCCCCCCGCCGCTCACGGGAGCGCGCCCGCCCGCCGCCCCCGACGGGAGCGCGCCCGGCCGCGGCGCTCTCACCAGGGCCGCGCTCCGCCTGCGCAGCCGGGGGGCCGGTGACCCCGAGCCCCCCTCCCCGCCCAGCGCCGCCGCCGCCGCTCCCCGCCGCTCCGATCAACAACAAGATGGCGGCGGCCCCGGGGGCGGGGCGCCGTTGATGGCCGTCATAGCAACCGCGCCGTCCAAAAGCCCGCCCCCTCCGAGCGCTGCGCCAATCGGAAACTGAGCGCCCCGCCGCCTGGCGCGCGTTGAGAGCGCTGATAGGGCAAACCCGCTGTCACTCAAGCCTGCCCAAGGGGCGTTACCCCCCCGCCTCGTCCGTGTGGGAACGGCCGCCGGGTTGCGCCGCACGTTACGCACACGTGACGCCTGCCCCGCCTCCCCGCGCCTTGCGGCCTCCTCATTGGCTCTCCGCGGAGCCGCGCTCGGCCAATGGGCGCGCAGGAGGCCGTTAAACGGTCGCGCGCGGCCGTTACCGGAGGGAGGCGGGGGGAGAGCGGGCGGTTATCTCAGGTCTCCCTTCATGAGGGGAGGGCGGCGGTGCCGGCCTGGCCCCTGCGGCTCCTCACGGCCCCCCGCTGTGCGCTGTGAAATCCGCCCGTTGTCCCCCGCCGCCTGTGTCCTCCCCGGCAGGAGGGGAGGGTTAATTAACCTCCCCGGGGTAATTAACCTCTCCGGGGTAATTTTGTGTCCTCCCGGGCACTCGGGTTCTCAGCGAGGTGGCAGGGAAGGCGTCCCGCTGAGCGCCCCTTTGAAACTCAAATAGCCCCTGGGTCCGGCTGCTTCCCCTCGCCCCCCAGCTTAACGAGTCCTTCAAAGCGCCCCTTGTGTTCGCGGGGCCCCGTTAACTCCTCTGCTGAGTGTCACCTCTACCTGCGCCCGCTAATTGCGCTCCTCGTTAGGACACCCGTGTGCTCCAAGGCGGCCCTGGCCGTTTGTTCCTGAGGCGGCCGAAGCCGGGGGCTCGCAGCGAGGGAGCTCTCGGCGGGAGCGTGAGGGACGTGGGACATGGTGTGGCATCACGGTGAAAGAAACGGGATCGTTGTGTGCTTGGGTAAAAACTTTGGAAAGTCGCCCACAATGGAGGTTTTCCTACCCCAGACCATCTCCCTTCCGCTTCCTGGCCCAGGTTGAGCATGTCCCATGATAGCAAGCGCAAGTTGGACCCATCTTTATTGGGTCTGGGCCGGCTGGTGCCGCTCACTGGAGCACCGGGGGTGAAGAAGGCGCCAGGTTCCTCTGCCGGGCACCCTGGGCTGCTCAGAGCCAGCGACGCAGCCCCGTGGTGCTGCTGAAGAGATAGTCCCTGCCCGTGCCTGCGGAGGGGACACGGCCGCCGTGGTGCCCCGGCATCGCCCACCCTCCCGTGCCGGCGAGGACGGGCGGCGGGAGGGCACTCACGTGGGTCGTGGGCCCGGCCATCGAACTGCACCTGCGAGAGGGCACCGAGAGGCTGCTGAGGGCTTTTGGACCAGCCCCCATGTACCGGGACTCCGGTATCGCCATGAACCAGTACTCCGGTTTCGCCATGAACCGGGACGCCGGCATTGGGGTGGACCCCACGTACCTGACTGGTGGCGTCGCGGTGGCCCCCAAGTACCAGGACGTCGGGGCGGCCTCGTGCCCCTTCGCCCCTCTGCGAGGCCCTGGCCTTCTGCTCTGCCAGGTCCCGGGAGCTGCGGGCGGGAGGACAGCGCGAGCCGGGGCCCGTCGGCCACGGGCTGGCTGAGACGTGGAGCCCTCGGGCAGGGCCGTAGCGAAGCGCCCGGCGTCTCCCCCAGCGGATGCCGCTAGCGACCGCCGAGCGCATCCTGTCCACCCTGTCCGTCCATTTTCACCTACCTGACTGTCCGCCTATCCGGCCGGTATCTCCCCAGGGAGACTAGGACGGAGCCCTTGTTGCCCTGAACACCACGAGCGTCCCAAGGCGACCGAGAGCAGCCTTGCTGCAACGCGGGTGGCTCTGAGCACCCCAGGCGCTGCCCGCCGGGGCCCGCGGACTCGCGCGAGCCGAGTCCTCTCCGGGAACTCAGTGCTCATCCACTGCAGGGCGTTCTCTCCTCCTGCAACCCTGGCTCAAGCGCCTGGAAGACCTTGCCAGCGAACGAAGGCCAAAAAGAGGCACCGACAACCTGTCTTGTCTGTGTCACTGTCACTACCCCTACCCCTGGGCAGTTTGAAAGGCTCCTTCCATGCCTGACCCTGCTTTCCCTCTCCCATACGAGTTCCCTGCGGAGCCGAGCGGGTCTTATAGGGCTGCTCGTTTCATGGGTACCACAAGGGACTGTTCTTGCCTTGGAAGGACTTGCTGTCCCTGGAGACCCTCCAGCTCCCTGGAGCTCCTTCCCTGGGGGTTAAAGCGGCCCTCGGAGCCCCCCTGAGGTTAAAGTGCCCCTGGGCACAGTGTGATCCGGAGGCTTCATTCGCCACGAGCAGGGCACCCTTCTGCAGCTGGCACGGAGCCCTGGGTGTTGGTGCCATCCCGTGCCCCGTCTGTCCCTACCCTGTGGCTGTGCCCTCGCAAAGCCGCCATCCCCACACGCAGCCCTCGGCACCAGGCAGCACCCACATCAGTGCCAGACCCTCACCCGTGGGCGCGCGGCTCCGTGGAGCGGCCGGGAGCAGCAGCACGGACCCGGTCCAGGAAAAAATAAACCCAAAGACGCATTGAATGACCCCGCTGTGAGAAGCACCGTGTGCCCACCCCACATGGGTGCTGTGGAAGGCCACGCCAAGAACCTCTTGGACACTAAGGTGACCCACACCCGCTGCTGAGCCCTGCTGCCAAGGAGATGTCACCCCAGACCTGCGTGGGCACCTACCTCCAGCCCTGGCGCTGCTTGCTGCGGCCTCGGGCACTGCGGCGGGGAGCAGAGAGCAGCCGTGAGCCCTCGGGGACGCGCCAGGGCAGGGCTCCGCTTGCCGGAGCTCCCGGTGGCCCCGCGGGAGCCCCGGGGTGGCCCTGGGCTCACCTCTGCAGCAGGGCCCGTGCCGCGCAGCCCAGGGCGGCCAGGAGCAGGGCGCCGGAGGCGGTCAGAGCCGCCACGAACCAGGCGGCCGGGCTCCACGCGGCCTCCGTCCGCGTCACCATCAGCGGCTCCTTGCGCGCCGTCTGCAAGCGCGCACCGGGGCTGAGGGCGCGCGCGGCAGCGACGGGCTGCCCGGGCACGGCGGGAGAACCGACGGCTCCGCTCGGCGTCACGCGGCAGGGTGCCACTCACCGAGCGCCGGGCGACGCTCCGCGGCGGCGCCGTGGTGCTCTGCGGGGTGACGTGCACCACCAGCATGACCACGGCGCTGCGGCGCGGGCGGCTGGCGTCGGCCCACGCCTCCACCAGCAGCACGAAGGTGCGGGGCTGCTCCAGGCCATTGGGGACGTGCAGGAGGGTGTTGCCCTCCATGCGGAAGCGCCCGTCCTCGTTGCCTGCGAGGGACGCTGCTGAGGGCGCGGGGCGCAGCGCGAGGCCGGCCCGCGAGGCCGCTCCTCACCTCTGGCGATGGCGTAGGACAGCGCGGCGCCCTCGCGGCCGCCCTGGCACGCGAGGCGGGTGACAGGCTGGCGGCCGCCCGCCCTCGATGTGATCCGCAGCTCCTGCACCTCCGGCGTGCACACGGGCGCCTCGCCGAGCACGGCCTGCCGGGAGCCACAACCCGATACGAGCCGCTAGAGAACCCACGACTATTTCATTGGGCGCCATAAGGAGGGGCCCAGGCATCCAGGGGGGAGTCCAGACGTCCAGGTGAGGGACCCAGGTATCCGGGAGGGTGAATCTGATGTCCAGACGCCCCATTTCCCCTGAGCACAACCCTATACGAGCCACTACATGATCCCGCTCCCAGCCCATCACCGGCGCGTCCCGGCTGCACCGGGAGCCCGGTCCGGAGGAGCCTTCCCGGAGGAGCTCGCGCTGCGCCCGCCGCGCTCACCTGCACGCGCACCGCCACGTCGCAGAGGCAGCTCCGCCGCGCCGCGGGGTCCGCGTCGTTGTGCGTGTCCGTGAGCCTCACCGCGAGCCGGTAGCTCCTCTGCCGCCCATAGTCCAGCGGCCCCACCACATAAATCCGGCCTGCCAGGGCGGTGCCAGGCTGCTGGGCACCCACGGGCGCCCTCAAGCGCGGCCCGGCGCCACACAGAGCGCCCGCGCTCACCCGTGTGCGCGTCGATGGAGAAGGGCTGGCCGGAGCGCGCGCTCTGCTCCAGGCCGTACTCGATGCTGTGCGGCGGGTAGTCGCGGTCGGTGCCCGCCACGCGCCCCACGGCCGTGCCGAAGGCCGCCGTCTCGGGCACGCTGAAGGCCGTGCCGTTGGGGCACTGCGGCGCGTACTCGTTCACGGGCGTCACCGTCACCAGCACGGGCACGCGGGCTGCGCGGCACGCGGGGCGCCTCAGCTCCGCCCGCGCCATCCCTGCCCGTGCCCTCCAGGTGGGCAACGGGAGAGCAACGTGGTCCTGCTGGCCGGGGTTCTGGGTGGCCAACAAGGGGCTCTCCCCGCTCGACGCTACGGGGGGACGCGGGCACAGGGCGGCCCGGGCACTCACTGCTCCGCGGGGGCTGCCCTTCCGCCGTCACCACGATGCTGGCCGCGAACTGGAAGCCCACGGCGGCGGCAAGCTCGGAGTCGTAGTCCAGCGTGGCGTTGACCTGCTGAGGCCAAGGGTGGTCAGGCAGGGACGGGGTGTCCTGCAGGGACGGGGTGTCCTGCAAGAACAGGGTGTTGGGGAGGGACGGGGTGTCCTGCAGGGACAGGGTGTCCTGCAAGGACGGGGTGTCCTGCAAGGATGGGGTGTCCTACAGGGACGGGGTGTCCTGCAGGGACAGGGTGTCCTACAGGTATGAGGTGTTGGGTAGGGACAAGGTGTCCTACAAGGATGAGGTATCCTGCAGGGATGGGGTGTCCTACAGGGATGGGGTGTCGGGCAGGGATGAGGTGTCCTGCAAGAACAGGGTGTCCTACAGGGATAAGGAGCTGGGTAGGGACAAGGTGTCCTACAAGGATGGGGTGTGCTTCAGGGACAGGATGTCCTGCAAGGATGGGGTGTCCTACAGAGACGGGGTGTTCTGCAGGGACAGGGTGTCCCACAGAGCCAGGGAACCCCGCAGAGCTGGAGATGCCACCAGGGAGCGGGTGTCCAGCAGATCCAGGGTGTCCCGCTGAGGACAGCAAGGCGCTCGCGTAGGCAGGATGCCCCCAGAGCCACGGGGCTCGCGGGCACAGGGTGTCCCCTGGAGCGGCTGCCGTGCCAGGGAAGGGCAGGGAGAAACCGGTGGCACTGAGCGGGAAGGGCACCCAGGGAGTCCCGGCGGTCCCATGGGCACCCGCAGGGCTCGCCAGCCCGCGGAGCCCGCGCCCCCCAGCTCCGCTCACCTGCAGCCGCGGCCCCTCCATGCGGAAGAGGCCACGCGAGGCGGCGGCGGTGGCCTCGACCTCGTAGCGCAGGGCGCCAGGGCCCACACACCTCAGCACCAGCAGGGTCCTGCCCGGCGGCACCGTCTCGGGCACCTGGGAGCTGCGGAGGGGCGGGCGGCGGGGTCGGGCACAAGCAGTGCCCGAGGCAGCTGTCCCCGCCGCCACCGTCACCCCACGCAGTGCCAGCGCCGCTGGCACAGCCCGTACACGTAGAGTGCCGGGACGCAGCGCGGTGCCCGCCGGCTCCGCGGGCGCACGGTGACGTTGAGGGCCATGGTGGCGGCGGCGGCGGGCGCCCGCGCCTCGTAGGCCTGCACGAGCAGCTGCGTGTGGGCCGCCTGCGGGAAGCGCTCCAGGTCCAGCCGGCAGGTGCTGCGGATCTCCCCGCTCCCTGTGGGCACGGAGGGAGCCTCACGCTGGGCCGGGGGGGCGCAGGTGGCACCGTGGCCCCGCGGTGCCCACCGCGTGCCCTGCTCACCTGCGTCGACGGTGAAGAGCGCCGGTGTCGCCTGCGTAAGGATGACGTAGCGGACGCTGTCACCGCTGGCGTGGACCCGCGTCACCACCTCCAAGGGGCCCGTGCCCTCCGGCACCGTCACGGCCTGCGCCGACTCGCTGTGGGCACGGGCATGAGGCGCGGCGCGGTGCCCGGCCCGCGGCCCTGGCCCGGCCCCACTCACGCGAAGGTGACGCGGGGCCGGCGCGACGGCTGCACTTGCACCGTGACGGCCCCGCTGCAGTTGTGCCCGTGTCGGTCCGTCACCACGATCTCCAGCCTGAACACCTGCGGGGGACAGCGGGGACAGAGCCCGGGGCGACATCCCAAGAGCGGCCCTGGGTCCATGGGATGGGAACAGAGAAAGGGATAGAGATGGAGATGGGGATAAAGATGGAGGTGGCAACGGGGATAGGAACAGGTACCGGAAAGCAGATGGAGATGGGAAAAGGGATGTGGATGGAGATGGAGACAAGGACGTCGATGGAGAAGGGATGAGGATGGGATTAGGGATGGGGACAGGGACAGAGGTGGAGCAGAAATGGAGCTGGAAATGAGGATGGGGCTGGAGAAGGAGATGAAGATGAGGATGGGGTTAGGAATGGGGATAGAGCTGGGGACAGGATGGGCACAGAGTTGGCGACAGGGTGCCCATCTGGTGAGGGACAGGCCGCTGGGAGCCACGGAGAGGGGCAGCAAGGGGCCAACGCCAGCCAGGCCGGGCAGATACCGGCACCAGGAGAACTTGGCACTCACCTGGGTGCTGGGTGTGGGCTCAAAGCCACCGGCCGGTGCCAGCACCGTGCCCCGCTCGGTGAGGACAAGCGGAGTGTCATTGTTTTTGGGGGAGAACTGCAGAGAGACGGGACAAAAGGGAGAGGAGAAGCCTCCCGTGACCTTGGCAGCAGCCCACGTCTCCCTTCTCCCCAGCCGCCCCCCAAAGCATGGCAGAGGGCAGGGGGTTGGGGGCCCCAAGCAAGGACCCCTTGCTGGGGACACCCCGCTGCGCCCAGGACTCACCGCCAGCTCTCCGGCCATCTGGAGCGGCACCACGGTGTACAGGGGCGCCCAGGGCGCCACATCGGCTGGCACCTGCACCGTGTCTCCTTCTGCAGCACCCCGAGAACCCCGGCGTGAGCCGGGGCGCCCCAAAGCCGCCCACCCACGCGGCCGCGCCCCGGCCCCACCGCTGCGCGTGCCCCGTCTCAGCGCCGCCGTTACCCATGCTGGTGAAGCTGGTGGCGCAGCGGAGCGCCGGCGCCACCCTGACGAAGAGCTGCCCCTCGGCCTCCTCCTCGCCGCGGCAGGCGGCCCGCAGCGTCAGCGCGTACTGGTTCACCCGGCGGGCATCGAGCGCGGCGGCCGCGCGCAGCGAGATCTGCCGCAGCGGCACGGGGCTCAGCGGGGCGCGCGCCACCCGGGGGCTCCCCGCCGAGCCCCCTGCCTGCGGCTGGCCTGGGCATTGCCCCGTTGCCCCGCGCTCTACCTCAGCCCGAAACATGGCGGGCAGCGTGTTGTTGGTGCTGACGGCCGCGGGGTTGAATGGCCCGAGTGCGGTGGCGTTGGGGTCCACGGGGCTGCCGGGCTCGACGCGGGCCAGCGTCACCCGGGGGTCGCCGCTCGCGTTGCCGCAGAGCAGGGGCACGTCAGCCACAGCGGTGCCCGGCGCCGCGGCTTCGCTCACGGTGACGGTGCGCGGCAGGCCGAGCAGGGCTGGCGAGGGCAGGCGCCCGGGGACCGGGCTCGGGTCGGGGCCTCGCCGCCGGCACGCGCCAGGCTGGAGGGATCTGCTGTGCCCTGCTCTTACCTGTGGCAAAAGACCCTGCACAAAGGACAAGACGACATGACCCCCACCTGCCAGAGGTGCCCCGGTCCTAGTGAAGCCCTAGAGATGCCCTGGCAATGCCCTGGTGATCCCCCCGCTGTGCCATCTAATTCCTACCCCCATCCCATTCCCATCCTGGTGATTAGGGCTGCCCGGGAGAACCCAGCTCCCTGTGCCCGCCCTTCTCACCCCGCCACACAGCACCCGGCCAGAGGTGCCCTGGGCCCAAGCTCCGGGACCCCCCGGCCGGGAGGTGCGCACCTGGGGCAAGGAGGAGGAGGAGGAGGAGGAATGCGAGGCGGCCGTGCGTGCCCATGGCTGCAGCTAGCTCTGTTTGGGGCACAGCGGACCTTGTTGCCATAGGTGCCGGGCACCACCCAGGCCCGGGCACCACGTCGGCCACTTGCAGCCTCAGGGGCAGCCCCGGGGAGGCGGCTCTGCCCCCGCGGCCACAGCCCCCACAGCCCTGGATCCTGGGCACCGGGGCACAGGCACCTGGGCATGACAAGGGGACAGGGACGCGCTGTGCACAGCCCTTCTGGGGGGTTTAACCAAGCAGCGACTGCCCCGGGCCCGTGGCCACCAGAGGGCACGGCCACCCCGCCGTGCCACACGTGCCAGCTCCCTCCCTGCCCGCCGCCACCCGCCTGGCACAGGGAAAGCCGCAATTTTCCACAAGGGGCTGACCGGGACCTCGCCAGGCTAATGCGAGCTGGGACTAGAAGACTCTTGACTACGTGGAGGGACTGCAGCGGTGACGGTGCCCAGCTCGGCCGCGACCACCTTAACCAGCTGTGGAGGGTGGCCGGGAGGAAGGAAATGCCATTGTGCCAAGCGCTGCCACCCCGGCAGCTGCGGAGCTGCCGCTTGGGAACTGGGGGGAAAAAATTAGCTGGGAGCTGAATTTTGGCCTCCTTCTCCTTCATTTGCAAACCAGGGTGCTGCCTCCCAGAACTGCTATTAGACGCTATTAGCGACCAATTAATCAACACGGGTGGAGCGCAACCCACGTGGCTGTGGGTCACCTTTGGGGAGCCAAGTATTTCCACGGGGCACCCATGTCCGCCCGCAGAGTGGGGTGCCCAGCAGGGGGTCCACAGGGTGACGGGGCGCCCAAGGGCAGGGGTGGGAGGAAGGAGAGCCTGGGTGCTCTTGGGGCGGTCACCACAGGGTGCTGCCTTGCCCGACGAGGCGCTGGGCTCCAGCGCTGGCCACGCTCCTCGTCCTGCCTGTGCCAGCCGCATCCCGGGCTCCTCAATCAGGGCACCGGGTCCCACTGCTCCCAGCCACATCCCGGGCTCCTCAGTCGGGGCACGGGGTCCTGCTGCTCCCGGCCATGTCCCAGACTCCTCAATCGGGGCACTGGGTCCCGCTGCTCCAGCCACGTCCCGGGCTCCCCAATCAGGGCACCAGGTCCCACTGCTCCGAGCCATGTCCCGGGCTCCTCGATCGGGGCACCGGGTCCGGCTGTTCCCAGCCACATCCCGGACTCCTCAATCGGGGCACAGGGTCCTGCTGCTCCCAGCCATGTCCCAGGCTCCCCAACTGGGACACCGGCTCCCGCTGCTCCCGGCCATGTCCCAGACTCCTCGATCGGGGCACCGGGTCCCGCTGCTCCCAGCCGTGTCCTGGGCTCCTCAATTGGGGCACCGGCTCCCGCTGCTCCCAGCCATGTCCCGGACTCCTCGATGAGGCACTGGCTCCCGCTGCTCCCAGCCATGTCCCGGACTCCTCGATGAGGCACTGGCTCCCGCTGCTCCCAGCCATGTCCCGGGCTCCTCAATCGGGGCACGGGGTCCTGCTGTTCCCAGCCACGTCCTGGGCTTCTCAATTGGGACACAGGGTCCCGATGTTCCCAGCCACATCCCGGGCTCCTCAATCGGGGCACGGGGTCCTGCTGCTCCCGGTCATGTCCCAGGCTCCCCAATTGGGACACCGGATCCCGCTGCTCCAGCCACGTCCCGGGCTCCCCAATCAGGGCACCAGGTCCCACTGCTCCGAGCCATGTCCCGGGCTCCTCGATCGGGGCACCGGG